GCTGGGGTTTGGTTCAAGGATCCACTGTGGATACCAAAATCTGTGGGTGCCCAAGTCAGTAGCACAGTAAAATGGCATCCCTTAACACAAAATGGCATAATTAAAGGTTTGCTTTTTGGAATTTATATATTTTGAAAATATTTTCAAGCCGTGGATAATTGAATCTGTAGATAAATAATCTGTGGATATGAAGGGCTGAGTGTACTAATATTTATATTTTTGTTTCTATCTCACTTTTCTCCCAATATAGGAACCAAAGTTGCTTGAAACATACTGTATGTACTCATGTATAAGTCTAGAAATTGTAGTAAAAAAATTGGCCCCAAAAAACTGGGTCAATGTACATTCTGTACTTTAACTCTTACTAAACAAGGACTCATCATCCCCTTTTGAATAGAGTGGTGAAAGGTGAGAGCTTAATCTATCCCAGAAAAAACCTAAAAAAAGCACCAACAACCTCTATTTTCTCCATCACAGTATCTCTTCTAACATTTTGAATGCTTGGGCAGGGAAAGGGCGATGGTGGTGGCTCTTTGGCATTGCCCCTCAAAGAGGCGCCAAGGGGAATCAGGCTTTAAAGCAGGAGTAGGCAACCTTTCCCCTTTAAGGGCCGAGGGACTTCAGCTCCCAGAATCCCAGGAGCTATTGGCCAACATGGGACTATTGGCCAACATGGCTGAGGCTTCTGGGAGCTGAAGTCCCTCGGCCCTTAAAGGGGAAAGGTTGCCTACCCCTGCTTTAAAGGATCTGAATAAGACATTAGTGTATGTCTGTTAGCATAAAATCAAGCGAAGCTATCACATTAAAGTTAAAGGCTATAATCAGTGCTAATGTAGTTGCCATTTTCCTTGCTTTGCCTTTTAATCCTTTTTGACATGTGCACATTTTCTTAGCCCCGTCTGCGCCTGGTCACCTCTTTGCACACATTGCACAGCCATCATTTACTGTGCTTCCCTCCTCGTCCCTCCAGCTTTTAGGGTGAGCACAGTTTTGCCTGCTGGAAGTTTGTTCATCCTTTGGCATCATTTTTCTTTGCTTCATCCTTTACATTCTTTGATACATGTCCCTAAACTTTATACTCAACTTATCCATGGGTCAAATCAAAATGCATAATTTTGACTCTAAAGCCTGTCCTCATTTTATACATGAGGTCGACGTGGAGTCGAGAACATACAGTAAGTTAAAACAGAATAAAAGAATACGTGATACAAACCCTGAAAAAGCATTAAACAATCAATCCAATTAAAATGTTCCTTTAAAACAATGATGGACACAAAACATGTGTTACATATTTAAAAAGCAGCACACCCTTTTCATACCCTTCATTTTTGGCCAGTTGAAAACTGAAGGCCTGCTTGAATAAGAAGGTCATGGAATAATAGACTGATGGAATCACAGAGCTGGAAAGAGACACCCAAGGGCCATCCAGTCCAACCCCCTGCCATGCAGGAAGACACAATCAAAGCACCTCCGACAGATGCCATCCATCCCCTATTTAAAACCTCAAAAGAAGGAGATTCTACCATACTCCACGGCAGTGTATTCCACTGTCAAACAGCTCTTACTGCCAGGAAGATCTTTGCCTGATGATGAAAAAAGAGCAGAGAAGGGGCCAATTGAGCTTCTCTTGGGAATTTCACAGCTTCGGGGCAGCCACCGAGAAGGATCTATTCCGTGACCTAACCAGATGAGTCTGTGTTAGTGATGGACAGAGAAAAAACTCTCTTCCAAAGATTGTAAGACTTGGGCAGGCTCATATGGAGGGATATAGACTATCAGGAAATACACTGAATGAAGTTCATCAGGTGAAGTATTTATTATTGCCCACAAACTGAAAAATCCAACAAGCCCTTCTTACATTTCTTCACTAGTAGAAATACAGCAATAACAGATTAAATAACCAGCAGTTTGCTGCTTTTTCATGACATTCAGACTCTGTTGCCTGAGCCATTCATCTTCCTAATGGCAGGGCCAGCCCTGTAAAATGTATTTTATTGTGAGATTAAATATAGTCCTCGTGGCATAAGAATAAAGAACTTCCTTTCTGTGTCATTTCATTAAAGAGAGAGGGAGAACAGCCATTGAATGCATCTATAACGCACAGTGATAACAATTTGATGCCACTTTGATTGTCATGACTACTTCCTATGGAATTCTGGGACATATAATTTTGTGAAGGACTTACAGACCTCTATTAATGAACTATAGTGATACCTTCTGATTTACAGGCCATTCTAGTATAAAAGGTTTCCTCTCTAAGGTCTCCAGTTCAGGATTATCCCAAGCCCTGAGGTTTCTGGGCCAAAACCTGAGACATAGCAACAGCCCATGGTGATGTCATTAAACATCATGATGACGATGATGATGATTGATAATGATAGTAATAATATAAACATATTTTTTCTTACCCTCCTCTCCCCATGGATTGAGGCAGGGAACAACCAATCAGCAATTAAGGACATCAATTAAACAACAATTAAAACATGCACCATTTTAAAGGACAAATAAAACATATTCATCTTAAAACAGTCTACATTTAAAATTCAACATCTTATTCACAATTTAAAATTATCTGGGTAGTTCTGCCAGAAGAGACTGGTCTTCAATGCTGATTTAAATTAAGAGAGCGTATTCAGCTGTCAAATATCTTCTGGCAGGTCATTCCACAATTAAGAATCAGTTGCAGCTTGTCATTCAAATATAGATTACATATGTGTGTGTTGTGTGCCTTTAAGTCATTTCCAATTTATGGCAACCCTACTGTCTTGGTAAGGTTTGTCTAGACGAGGTTTGCCATTGCCTTCCACTGAGGCTGAGAGCATGTGACCTGATTGGGAGTTCCTGCATGGCAGTGGGTTGGATTGGATGGTCCTTGTGGTCTCTTCCAACTCTATGATTCTATGATTTTATGATTCTATGCCCAAGGTCATCCAGTGACTTTCATGGCCAAGCCGGGAACCGAACCGTGGTCTCCAGGGCCATAGTCCAACACTCAAACCACTACGCCATGCTGGCGCTTTCATTCTCTCATTTTTTTGTTTGGAATTTAAGACAGAAGTTTTAACAAAAGGGGCTGTCCTGAGATGAAGGCGAAGTGAGGGGATTATTCCTTCTCATCTGCTTAGAGATGAAGAACATTTTGTTTTTTCTAGCCCTCTTGCTTCTAGCCAGGAGATGACTGCAGAGCCCTGGCACCACAAGGGTTTGGAAGGAAGCTAACTACTTTCCTGGAATGCTTTGGCAAATTGCAGCAACAAATCAATGAAACCTTGCAAAACTATAGCAAGCTGCTGCTCAACAGCCCTTCTTACCCGGAGCTGAGCTCATCAAATGGAGAATTTGCACCCTCGTCTCCCTCCTGGAAGTGATACACAAAAACTAGAGACTCAAGGTTCCTGATATCCGGCAACCGTATTTCTTTCTTCTGTTCCAGGTGCCACAGGCAGTGATTTCCTCAGAAGCAAACCAGGCTGTGTTGGATGAACAGAGGCAGCTGGCCCCCAGAATTAAGGAGGAAACATGATGATCAGACCAGCCTGTTCGGTAAGATGCAATATGAAATTCTGTGTGCTTGAGTGCTTAGACGGTCTAAAGGTGGGGTGGGGAGACTTTAGAACAGGGATATGTAACCTCTGGCTCAGGGGGCAGATACAACTTCTGAACAAGTCCTCTGACCTACCCTAAAAGGTATAAAAAAGTCCAAAATATCTTGGGAGTGGGAACTGAAGAAGGCAGGAGCTTGAAAAGAATTTGTTATTAATTTGTTAGTTTGTTGGCCTAATTCATTAATTTTGTCAGCAACAAATTTTTGTTAGCAACAAGTTATTGTAATTGTTAGCCTGCCAAGCAAAGCTAATTCACCATTTCACATGTTGACATTATGATCATTTGCAGCAATTCTAGGTGATCTTTTAAAGTTTAAAATATCAAGTCCATTTAATAAGTCCATCAATATGTCAACAAATTAAATTTCTAAATGAGATAAATGAATCAAGAGTTCCTGTATGATTTAACCATAATTCTCTAGTCCTCCAGATTTAGTTGGACTATATGTCCCAGCAGCCCTAACCAGGAATGCCTGGAGTTCAGTCCAACAGCATCTGACATCCGACATGATT